AGCTTGTATTTATTTCTGAATGTGTCGATTGTATTTGCTTTATTATATTATTTTTGTATATCAATATTTTTTGTGACTCTTCCTTACTTGTTATGTCATTATCCACGCCGGGAATTTTTCTAGCTAATTCAGTATGATCTTCCGGTTCCAGTATGTTCATAAGGTTATCCTTCTCTGAAAGATTACTGCTTACTGTTTTGGCAGATTCTATTCTCGAAAAAGTGCTGTCTATTTCTTCATCAGTTTCGTCTTTTTTCAGTGAGTCCAGATATTTATTTATCATTATCATATCATTTTTCTGTTTACGTTTGTTCGAATCTATGTATATTCTTTCGGTTTTTCCATTATATCTTAATTCATTGTTTCCTAAATCTACAACAGCATTTATTCTTTTTAAAATATTATATCCTATAAGTATATCTGCTTCTAAATTTTCAATTTCATAAAATCTTTCTTGCACTCCTAACAAGGTAATAGAGTGATAATATTTTATTGTACTGTACCCATTTACAGTTCTTACTCTTTTAAATATTGGTAATTGGTTTTTATTCTTGTATATTCCCTGCCTAATATATGATGCTGTAGCACCTGAGTCTAACAAAATTTTAAAGGTTTTATCAGTTTTTAAATCTGTTAATTGTATGTAGGGGAGCTCTAGTACTCCCTTTGGCCTAAAAAAATGATTTTCAGAAATATTGTTTATCCGTTGAGCTTTTGGTAACAGTTGCCTACTCTGAATACTTTCATGAACTCTTTTTTGAGTTTGGTTATTGTGATATCCCGATCCCTGCATAAAAGAATGCGAGTTCCTATTTGAGTTGTTCCAGTGATTCCTATTAGATGTTTGATAACTGTTGTTTCTTTGGAATTGGTTGGATACAGATGGATCCACTTCCATTGGTACAACAGGTTCTTGAATTTGATTTTGATTATTAATATTTGCCTTAGCGAATCTTAAATTATTTTGGATTGTGTTCCTAGGTGTGTGATCGTATCTCCTTTGTCTGTTGTACTGGTTTTGATAGTGGTTTGAATTATTCATTGGAGTTTGTTTCCCATTGTTATGAAAATTTAAAGCGAATCTTGCCCTCAAATTGTTTGCTTCGAGTTCCTGAGCTTTTGCTAATGCATTTGGCAAGTCTTCTGGACAAAGTGAGAATAAAATGTCAGATAATGGTGTTTTTAGACCAGTTATGAATATTCTTAAAGCGTTTTGCCTATTCTTTCTATTAAGTTCTTTAGTAATTGACTCATCGCTTCCGTGGGTCATTATAGTCTTATTTATTAAGAGAGTCAACTTTTTATTGACTAAATTGTAGTATTCCATAACCGAAAGATTGCCCTGTCGTAACACGCTTAATTCCTGTTCTATTATATGAATTGGACGTTTGTCCGAATATGCAAAATCAAGCCGAGCAATAATGGCATCCATATTTAGACAAGTGCCGTGATTTGTTAGAGTATCGTTGGCCTCGCCTATAATTTTATTTCTTAAAATGGTTAGTGCACCGAAATACTTCCTGCTACCTCTATTGTATAAACTCATGGAATTTATGGCTGCGGCCCGCCAACTAACATAACTATTTTTTCCACTAAATTCGGGAAGTGATTTTACTATGTCCAAGGTCTCATCACATATTATACGGCTGTCTACTACTTCCGTTTCGAATTCTACTACTTTGGGAGTATTTACTGTAGAAAGCTGCTCTTTTAGCAAAGCTATCTCATTCCTAAGAGAGGCTGTGTTTGCGACTATAAGGCGACTAATTAAGTCCTGTGTAAAAGTATTATTTTCGAGGGTCATTTTAGCAAAATTTTTTAACAGATTTTCCAGTTTTACAACTTAATAAGATACAAAAAAAATTGGTTTTATTCCCGTTTCACGATAGTATTTCAAATAATGAACAAATATTTTAATAGTATAAAACAAAATCTAATAACAGTAAGCGAAGGAAAAAGATTTTACACAATAAAAAATAATAATTTACTTTTATATTTATAATTTAACTATAAAAAAATTTCCATCTTTTTACAAATCTAATTAACAACTTTATATTCATTTATACTTCTTTCAAAAAGAAATTAATTGTTCGACTTACTTATAAAATGTTTTCTGCTTCTCCTGAGTTGAGTTTCGGTTTAATTGTATCTTCCTTCAATTTGTACCACAGGTATTAAATTATTATCACTTAGACAGTCACCTTTAGTTTTGGGGTTTTTTTTGTTCCTTTGTAATTTATATATTTTATAAAATGTTTTCCGCTTCTCCTGAGTTGAGTTTCAGTTGAATTGTATCTTCTTTCAATTTTTACCACAGGTATTAAATTATTATTACTTAGACATTCACCTTTAGTTTTTTTTTTTTGTAATTTATATATTCTTTTTTTTAAAATAATAAAAAAAATTTCACGATTTCAAGTTAATTAAATGAAATTTCACGTTTAATAAAAAAAATTTTTGAAAATATTAATTTATATTATATTATTTATATATTTTAAATATTATTTATTCCTTTTTCTTAGAATAATCTCTCTTTTCTCATCTGCAAACAGCTTAGTTATTGCATGTTTTGTTAAATGCAGTGATATAGTTCGAGCACCTCGTGTTGCGTACTTTTTATTTTCCGCAATTGTAACACGGGCTTCACGTTGGGCGCCAATTAAATATAAACTATTATTTTTTGTGTAGCTTCTGCTACCACTTTATTTGAAATGTTTCTTAAGACTAACTACTTCCATAATTTTTACTCGTATTTATACCAAGAATTCGAAGCATCGAATCCCGATAATATATTTCGTTGTTTGCTTAGGACAGGCAACGATAATAAAAAATATTTGGTTTTTCCAATTTCCTGTTTAATACAATAGATAATATTTTAGGACAGACAACGATCATTAAGAAATGTTTAGTTAATACAATAGATAATATTTCGTTGTTTATTTAGGACAGACAACGATCATTAAGAAATGTTTAGTTACAATGTTTGGTTATTTCCAATTTCCTGTTTAATACAATAGATAATATTTTAGGACAGACAACGATCATTAAGAAATGTTTAGTTAATACAATAGATAATATTTCTTTGTTCATTTAGGACAGATAACGATAAACACAATAATTAGTGTAGGAGACGAGACTTGATAACTTACATATACACGAACCGTAGTGTTGCAAACAAATTCATTTGCATATATTGCATTGCATACATTTATATTTATATGAGTAGTACAAGTACGTATCATGCATGAATGCGGCAAGTCAATTTTATAACAAATTGAAACATTGAATACTTGAAGTATTGAAAGAGTGGCTTTCACACTCGGAGCTATTACGAGTACATACCAAGCCGGCAATATAAGTTTTTATTTACCTACATGTCGATATGTCCATATGTCGCTCATGGATGTTTACGTCGGGCTTGTATGTGTATGTCAGTTTGGCATGTGTGTGCATTAGAAAGAAGTTCAACTCAAACTTCTCTGTGTGCGCGCACAAATCAATTGAACTTGGCAAGTGTCAACTTGAATGTCATCATTTGAACTGAACTTTCAAAACCAAATTTTAGCACGATTCAATGCAGTTAATTTGAATTCAAGGATTAAAGTGGCCAAGAGTGTACAATTTATTTATGTTTGTCGCTTGCTAACAAAGTTTTCGTTACTCCACTTAGGTATTGTGCTAGTATTTGTGTTAGTGTTTGCTGTTTGTTGCTTGTTGTTTGTTGCTTGTTGTTTGTTGTTGGTATTTTTAAATAGTCTATCTCTAAACGATGGATGTGGTGATATACATATGTCGCTATGTATGCGTGTGTACGTGTCTATGCGTGTCAGTTTTATAGTTTAAATTTAATTCAATTGCACTGAACTGAACTGAATTGAATTGAATTGAACTGCAATGAGTGTGATTGTGTGGTTAGATGTGCGCTCGGTTGTCTCAATGCGGTTCCAATCATTCGACAATTTGTTTGTTTACATTGCGGTTGATTTAAATTGTATCAATTCAGCTGAGTTAAATTTATATATAAAATATACGTGCATATCGAAGTATTTTTCTTTTTTCAGCTTAAATTATGACATTTAAATTAAAAAATTAATGGTCCAATAAATTTACGAAAAAATAAAAACAAAAATAAATTTACGAAAAAAATAATAACATAAATAAATTTAACAACTTCATTTATCATAAGCGTTATTGGGTCACTTTTATAAGTGTAAGTGTAAAAATAAATAAAATTTTCGAAAAAATTTTGGAATTTTTTTTCTAAGAGATACGTACCCATGAATTTTGAGAATTTTACATTTTAGAACAATTTTTAAAATAACATTTCTCGAGTTCTGTAAATGATAAAGACCTATAAATTGTTGTTTTATAAATATAATAAAATTAACTTTTTTATGTTGAGGCTAGTTGAGTCAGTGCACCTGAGCCCTTTTACTCTCTATTAACTGCGAGGTTTCTTCAAAGCCCCTCTTTGCGCCTTGACTGGATTATTGTTTATCACTTCATCAGACTAAACAATAATTGACCTCAGATGTGCATACCTCCCCGAGGAGCCTGTAACTATTCTGAGATTTGATAACACGATGTTGGCAAGTCTGTCAGATTTCGCAAATAATTTCATGACTCTATCTTTTATGTATTTTTTGAACTTTTAGTAAATAATATTTGTATAATATAAAATTAAAATTTCGAAAGCATTTACATTGTTTATTATATATATCATTGTTTATATTTATTTACTAATATATGTAATATATATGATCATTGTAAATACTAGTTTTGATTTAGACACATTATAAAATTTTAAATATTATTTTATTTTTAATTCGAATTTATCATTGAATTTTATTTAAAATTTGACATTTTAATTATTTTTTATTCGGTAATATCTAAATTATCACACATGGCGTATACGCACCAAATTTTATACGTTATATGCTTCATAGGAACTTGAAAAAAGGTTTTTCAGTAAAAACAAGTAAGATACCATAGAGTATCAACAGTAATATCACAAATAAACCGTAGAGTTGAAGTAAGTTTTTCATTTAGACCGACTGCCATATTAATGTCATGGTTTCGATTTTCAGTGTATGCCCATTTGGCAACGGATTTAGGATAAAGTCAACAATTCTGAACAATTTTTTCTAATACGCCAAAATAGCTGATTCCACTAAAAATAGTTGTCGGATGAGAGTCCCCGGCAAATCGAAATAGCATCAATTAAGCTAATCTTACTAAACTCTATAGAAGATCTTAGTCAGTTCCAAGATCTCTTCTTAAACAGCAATTTTGCCTTTATCAATGGTTCCAGATAGTTTGAATAGCTTCAATTTTTTATTATAATACAATGGGTCTAGTACTTTTCAAAGCGCTTTTTTCTATGCGCACGAAATGAGTAAGCCAACGAAGCTGCTGATTTTTGATGCACTTAACTACATCAATGCGCAATATAGCTCGTTTTATCTAATTCGATACTCATTGCCAACGCGTTAGAGACCATAGGTCTTTCATCAAATTTTTCTATCGAATGCTCCTAATGCCTTCCCACCTTTTTTGGTTATCGTCCAAGATTCTGAACAACGCAGTAAAATAAACAGGATAGACATCAGTACAGAGCAGGATTATTTGTGGAGAGGGGGCCTTATTTTTAAATTATTAACATAGTCGAAACTAATTTCAGTTAGAAAGAGTGATTCTTTGTTGAATCTGTAGGCAACAACAGTTAAAAACAGTGACGTGACCGGTCAAAAAATTTGATTGTAGACAAAAAATACACAGTTGATCCTCAATTTTTTACCACAATACCTATTGCTTTACTTGTTTTTCTAAGTTGGAAAAAGCTGCACTGACGGCGCGGGTGTTTTAGTCAAACAATTCTAATATCGTTGGCATACGTTATTGGCTTTTACTTTTGTAAAATATTGTGCCAGTTTTGTTCAAATCTGCTGCTCTGATTATCTTTTCCAACATTAGATTGAAGTATAACTAAGACGACACTACAAAGAGTAACGCTACCTGAAACCTCATTTTTGTTGAACCACCCGTAGAGATTCTTGCCATTTCTAATGAAGCTTGTGAAGTTGTTCAATCATCACTTATAGGTCATTTGGATACCTCAGTTTCCCATTCCAATTCATTATTTTATGCAAACTTCTTTTTCTGGAGTTATCTTTTCAAGTTTGGAAACAAGTAATAGTCATGGAGCCAAGCCTGAAAAATGCGGTAGGTGAGAAAGCAATTCCATTTTGGAATTGGAATCATTTGAAATCATTTCATTTTGGCATGATTTTCATTAATGTGTGACCGTGATTCTGCACCCAGTCGTTTTTTCTTGATTTCCTCATTCAATCGATCAAATAATCTGAAATAGTAGTTTGATGTTATTATTTTTTCTTTTTCCAAATATATTGTATGAAATTTATTCTACTTAAATAAAATACGGAAGTTAAAACTTTTACAGCCGCTTGTTAAGTTCGTGATCGTTTGGGAGAACTACACCCGGGCTATAGCCATTCTCTGCCTTATTGTTTTCCCTTAGGTGTGAAGTAATAGATCCATGTTTCATGAATTGTCACTAATATTTCCAAACAATTGTTTTTACTCTATTGTGAGCAAACGGTTCACCCATCTTGCCAAAAGCTTTTTGATGCCCAAATATTTATGTAAAATATTCGATATACATTTACATGATATATTTGTCATCTCTGCTATCTGCTACCAATACAATCTCGTGGATTTGTTCAATGTTTTTTTCAGTTGTGACCTCTTTTGAACAACCCGAACATTCTGTTGTTGTTAATGATGGTACAAGGTTGCCATAAACAAAATCCATTCCCAATTGGATTGCATCATTGTTCATTCGCTTCAAATGAAGAAATTTTATTACTGAAAGGCGATACTTTTACAGCTATCGTTTAAAACTTGTTAGATATACAAAATATAATTGACTTTGTTCTGACATTTCTACCTGTTGTGAAGTCAGGTAATTATCAATCCACCAGTATGTTCTTGAAATATAAAATCCGCAATTATAACAATTCAATTGTCATTGAAGTTTCAATGCAATTATAACATTAATATATTGAAGAATTGATAGATTTTATCCTAAATTTGTTTGCTCATTTCTTAAACTGTATAAAATAATTTAATTTCATGAGCAATTTAGAATCAATTAGAACTCAAAATAGAATAATATAAATAAATGTTTCTTCTTGTCCTTTCTTATTGGTACAACATTATTAATTAATTTTTGTATTGCAGGTACAAGGACAACAATTGAATTGCAAGTGATTTGACCATAATTGTTCTTAAAGCAATTGTAATTAAGTTTACTAATTCACGCACCAGCAGAGCAATCCGCATATATTAGACGCAAGGACAAACCTTACACCTGCTTTCAGGACCAACGTAACAATTCATAATGTTCATTTCCGTTTTGTGTGCACTCGACGACGTACTCATACGCACAACTCACTGGTGTGCATACTTAAATTACATAAATTGTGTCATGAGTGCTGCTGAAGTCAGTTGGTGTATCGCAAAGCGAACAGTATCTTTTGGTGAAATTTGCTTTGTGATACTGCACATACACTCACATTCATGCACTTTTAATGCGTATCTGTGTATGCGAGAAAACACTTGCACATGACCACAGACAGACGCAGATGAACACAAGTTCACAAAATATTATTATGCTAATGCAGTGCAAATATCTGTCATCCGGTTGAGTAAAACACACTTGCAACTATACTGTATGGAACTGCACTACCACTGTCACTGCATCCAGTATGGAGGACATCTAGCACATCGAACACATTCAGCACATACTTTCGCACGCCTTTCAATTGGTTTTTGGTCTCAGATTATGTTGCGGTGCACGGCACAGGAAATTTGATCTAATGCGTACGGTGATTGCGTACTTCCGCTCGCATTTCATATTCATGTACTAATATTGAAACATGCGTCTCTGGATAAATGGGTCGGGTGTATGGGTGTGCATAGTTGGGGATGTGTGCCAATAATAACCTGTCCAAATGTACCGTAAATTCACAAAATTTATGTCAATCAGTTTACTTAGTGTTTACTTTGACATTGGCCAAATTGATGACATGTTGGTTCAGAAGACTTAGCCAATGTTTAAATTATTGGTCGTGATTGCTGCTAAAATGCTTTTTCAAAATTTTCAAAATTTTTTGAAAATTTTATTAAAATGATTTTTCTTTTTTAGTTAGAACAAAGTGAATTAGCTTGGCCTTTAATAATATTACATTATTGAATATAAAATAATTTTGTATAATTTGGTCAGCAGAATATGGAATATGGAGAGCAATCAGAAGCTAATCGTAAGCGGCTCCAAAGGCATGTAAACAAAGAAGTTAGCAGGCTTCTCAATACCACAGGTATTAACCCCGACCGCCTAGGGAATTTTAAAGTCTAAGTAAAAATATAGGATGACATTAAAGGCAAACTGATCATTAGTTTCCTCACAACTATGTAGATGTAGTGTTAACAAACACTGTTGTATACATAGTTTTATAGTGTTTGTAATAAAAAGTTTTTATTAAAAACAAAAAAAAAAAACACTTGAAAAAGAATTTATTATAGAAGGATTAGTATAATAAATTGGAAGGTATCGTAGAATATTATACTATTTGAAAAAGATTTTATACAATGATATACTCGAAATACTCAAAACAGCCAAAAATTCAATTATTTAAAAATAATTAAAAAAAATTTTGTTGCAATTTCACTACTGTTTTCTCTCTATTGAAAATAATAGTTTATATTACGAATTTAGTTTCTTTCGCCAAAATCGACTTTTAAAATCAATTTAATAATGGTGCTAAGCAAATCATAGGACCAAAATATGTTATTATACTGGTCTTATTAATTGAATGCATAATGTATTCTAACAATGTTATGAATTTAGATGCTCAAAAAGCCCGCTCTTCTTTAATTTGAAAAAAATATAGTCTTATACACATACTTCTGTAAAGAGTACCTCAAAAAAAAAGCACCCATAAAACAGTAAAACAGAAAGAATACCACTACAAACATAATAATTTTAAAATTTAACAGAAACATAAAACCACTTCTACGAGGGCGGTTTGATAAATCAGTGACTTTTTGAATTTCCCGTGCAGTTACTCCAAATGCAACAGTGCTGCTGTCAGCTGTAATCTACTAGTGGGCAACTTTCTAATTTTGAGCAAGCTATGTCGTTCAGTTGGTGTTTGATAGCCGTTCAAAGCAGACAACCTCGTGAATTTTTTGCGAAAATGGAAAAAAGTGAATTTCGTGAGCTGATTAAGTATTACGATCTCAAATCCACGAATTGGGATACAAACTGCTACCCCATCCAGCATATTCTCCAGATTTAGCCCCCTGCGACTATTTTCTGTTTTCAAACCTAAATAAATGGCTGGGCGGTAAGAGATTTGAGTCGAATGAAGAAGTCATTACCGAAACAAACGCGTATTTTGAGAGCTTTGAGAAAACCTTTTATTTGGAGGGAATAAGAAAATTAGAAAAACGCTGGAATAAATGTATAAATGTAAATGTAAGCTAAAAGGTGATTATGTAGAAAAATAAAATGTTTATTTGCCGAAAAAATTTGTTTTATTCAAAAGGTCACTGACTTATCAAATCACCCTCGTATTTTATGGAAGTAAAACATAAAGAATACCAATACAATCAAGCCAAGAATTCAAATTTTTGTAAATCAATGCCTACAAAGAATCTCGCGGTTCTGATAGTCACAATATTGATCTATAGGCTCGGAAAAGCCAAACTAGAACAATAGTGGATATTCGGGAACTCAATAATGGCTAAATAGTGATATTGTTTGATAAGAACTAAAAGAAAACTCTGACGACGACTTGAAGAAGAGCAGTGGATCGCGAATTAAAGAATGCAAATTACTCATGAAAAAAGCATTGCCTATTTCCCAAACAGAATTTAAGTTAAACTAATAATAAATGCTCTATGGTTTACCTAGTAGGACAGACATACATACATACATAAGCATGAAAGTTAAATTAGATTATATTTCAATGGCTGTTCATTATAGGGGCAAATTGTTTTTGTACTAATTCTCACCCAAAATGAATTAAGAATTGTTCGATTCTCTTGTGGTACGGAGAATTTTCTATCATTTCTGATTATTCTGGATTCAAGTACTTTTATCACTACTTGACTGTTAAAAAAGAAATAAATAGTCTGATATTTAGATTAATAGAAATTATTTATAATCGCCCTATAATCTTTGTGAGGATATGAAAGATATAATACTATAACATGTAATTATAATTGAAACTTTATTTATTTAATTGTGTATATAAAAATACATGCGTGAGTGAAATTAGGGAGTTTGCTTCCTAATGGATTTATGGATGAATTTGATTAATATTAGTTTAATATTAGTGTTGTCTGGTTTTGTCTTGTTCAATTGTAAAAAAAGATTGTAATAAAATCGTTTTCAATGTATGACTTGTTACTTTAAAGAATGACGTTCAGTATTTTTTGTACAAAAAAATTAAATTTTTAGTCAACAATAAAAATTCCTTCATAAATTTAAATAATTAATCTACCAGCTAGAATTTAAATTAAAAACTTCAAATTCTTAAATTCAAAACCATTCGTTTTTCTTACTCGTAATTATCCTCGCACTAATTATCGAACGCATTTGCGAGTTCCGTCACATTAAATTGAACTTTGCACTGTAATTGCAAATTGTGCGCATAAGTTAATTAATTAAATTTAATAATAATCGATTTAATAATTTCGTAATAATTAAAATGACTGTGGAATGAAACTGTTTTGTCACAGTCTCAAACTTGCATAATTAAACGAGCATTAGCTCCGTAATTATTGACAGTGCAATTATGCAACTACCCAAACGGATTTGCTGTAGTTCAATACAAATTTTTACTTCAAAATGTCCTCATCGAATAGAATTTTTTTTCATTCAGTACCTTTGAGCAAATGCAGGAACAGTGAAAGCTAATTTGCGAAAGTACAGAATGCATATAGCAAAAAAAAACAGAATAAAATTCTAAAGGAAAGTTTGCTTAATAGAACGAGCTTCTTAGTAAGGAATATAAAGAAAATCTTTGATTCAAAAAAAAAATCCATGCTAACGTAACCAATTTTGTTAACTTTAAAAAGTCAATTGAAAAAAAATTACTGAGAAACTTTAAGTTGAACATATTAGGTGACAAAGACTTATTATTTTAATAAAAATGACAAATAAAATAAAAATAAACAATATTAACCCAATTTAAGTTAAGTAATATGATATTTAGTCTAGTTCATCAACTTACTTAGACCAAATAGATTTATTGTAACACCACTCTTCACCACGGAACCTTAACTATTCTTATTTATGGAATAATTTCAACACTATTATGAAACGCAAAAAAGATATATTCACTGAAGAAGTAAGCCCAGCTTAGAACTAGATCTGAGTAGCTCTAAAAGAAGTGTCGCATTTTTTCTGACCTAATTTCACCTCACTTGATTTGGAATGAAACAATCTTAATCTTTGGACTCGAAAATAGCAAGTAAGTAAGGATAAGTTTTGCAGTAATCTGTTAAGAAGCAGAAAATACAAAAGAAAATGCGCCGAAGTAGCAGCAAGCCAAAACAATATGAATGAACTCTACTTTTTAGACAGAGTACTAGTAGGGAAATAGAAGAATGGAGAAAGGAATTTAAAAATTGACAGCGAGCAACAAATCAAACCTAATCCAATCAAAAGAAGTTCGCAGTGCCGGCGTTGAAATTATTAACTTAAATGACAGCAATCTTGAAGAATGAAATAGTTTCAACAATACAGTGGCAAAAAAACTGGAAATCACCTAAAAATGATAAACATATATGCCGGATATCTTAAAGTAAACCCATAAATTGCTGCCCACATACTGATGTCGATTTTCCGTAAGGTATTGGAAGAAAAGATCTGTCACGAGCAGTGGAAGAAAGCATTTCTGTAAACGTTTCTAAGTGAAGAGTTGCGTCTTTTTATCTGCTGTAATATTATACTCCTGACTTTTTCTTTTTTAAAAAAACTTAAATTTTTAAGGACGTTAAGTCGCCATACTAATATAAAAGTTATCTTTGATTGTCAGTACCTAACGGCTTTTAACTGTGACGGACTTTAAACGCCTATAACTATATACATCTTCTAGGTTTTGTGTAATGGTGGCCGTTATATTAATCATGTCCACTGTATTTGAAAACTTGATTATAAAATCTATACGAGTATACAGTAGAGGCTATACAGTAGAGAAATTAGAACTCTTACAAATTCAAATTTTCCATAAATTAGAATTAAAAAATTTCAATCATTATGAGTTCAATTATGATACTTCAAATAACATTGAAGGTGACGTTCCCAATCCTACATCGACTGTGTCTCATTCTGAAGCTCGATTAAAAACGCCAATATCTTAATAAATTAGTGCAAAAAAATTACTCGTTTCCTACTAATCACATAACCAATCTTTTAACTCTTCGTAACGATAACATTGTAAAAAATTTGACTAAATTTAAAAAACAAACAAACATTACTAAATATTTTCTACAATAATACTTCATAAGGATTGATTTCAACTTTAATATAAAATTTTCATGTATATATCTTGCCATTAATTTATGAATGTTCACTATTTTAAAACTATATTTTTACTTTAATGGACTCAGTTCACAATTTTTTTAATTTAAATGGAATAAATTCTTAATTGATTCCATTACTACTGAAACGTATTAGTGTAGTTAATATGGAATAATTACTTAACAAAACATTAAAACTTATAAAAAAAAATAGTTGGTTTTTTCTGAGTTCCAGATTTCTTCAACCAATAATATTTGAAGCATTTGAAATAATCACATTTATTGTTGAATTATAATAACCTTCACATTTTATGCTTAGATTGAGTTTCTCATATAATTTCCTTTCATTTCATCTCAGTTGTATATAGATACGTAGATACATGTCAATACAAACTTATATATGTATAAGTTTGCAATATACACATCAATAAGCAAATATATTTAAATTTGCATAGCTTTGCTTTCAAGTTGACATTTGCATAGTATTACCAAAGTATTTCGTATAATAGACAATTTCAATGATATCCTTTTAAATCAGTTGCACCCTTAAGAGGATTTATAAGATACAAAAAATGAAAGCAAAACGAGACTTTGTTGGATGAAATAGAATAGATAAAATAGACTATCAAATTGGTTGATGCAATTATTTGCATACTTTTAGGAACAAAAGAAAAAAATTTATAAAAATTGCATCAATTTGTGTGGGCGAAGTGTAATGACTACAAAGGCAGAATGCGGAGAAAAGTATTCGGATTAACTGGGTCTTAAGTTTAAATATAAAAGCCAATGAGACATATACTATGTATGTCATATAAATTTTACATATTGTTGGTTTCATTAAATAATATATAGTTAAATTTTTGTACGTAAAGGGAGTTATGCATTTTTGCTAGAATTTAAACTCAGGGAAAATTTTTTATTAGATATTATTTTTATGTTTTCATATTTGAAATTATTCAAATAAATTTAAAAAATATTGAAGTAAACTTTTTTGAAGTTATCAAGAATAAATACAAATATTTGAAACATTTATTTACTTAATTTCGACAATGCAGATAGTAAGACTCTGTGCAATACATTAAACATATATTGCTTTAATAATTTTGTTTAAAATTAAATAGTTTTTCAAATATAAAAATCTAGCATTTCATCACATTTGTTCTAACAAATAAAATAAGTTCGGTCAGGTTAATCTACCTACATGGAACGTATATGGAGTTATGAAGTTCAATTATGGGGTACTCAAGCAGACTCAAACCTGGCAATTATCCAGCGTTTTCAATGTAAAAAACTACGAATGATCTCAAAAGCACTTTGGTATAACAAATGAACAACTGCATAAACAACTACGTGTTCCGACAATTAAGGAAGAAATATCTCGTATTATAAAAAATTATGCTCATCGCATATATGTACATCCAAATCCGCTGGTTACACACTTGATGGCCACCTCCACTTTTACAAGGCTAAAAAGAAAAACATCGAAAGACGTTTTAGATATGTATATGTAGGTCACACATTTCTATTTTAAGTATATATGGATATGTCACTGGACATAGTCCTTTTTTAGATCGTAATAACTACTATTACGATTCATATTCATATATATTACTTATTGTCATTCACACCTGACAGATTGTAATAAAATAAATGGTTTTAAAAAAAAAAAAAGTTAATCTGGTTAGCACTAAGCCACGCGTAGATTTATTACTAAAAACAAGTATTCAATAATTGACTAAATTAAATGATTAAAGTATTACCTGTTGATAATGATAATGACATGAATTTTAGCTAAATTTAACCATAAAAATGAATTTTATTTAACAATTTATTTAACAATTGAAGTAAACAAACTTATAATTTCTTTTTTTCAGGAAAAGGCCATGAATCAGTAGTAGGAGATAGAGATAATGCATTAACGAAATTTGATTTTTAAAGTCATATATGACGAAAGATGAGTATTTGGCAATAATCGAAACAGCTGTATGTATGATCAGCCAAAAATTCAATAAATTAAAAGTAATAAAAATTTGTTGTTGCAATTCATTACTGTTCAAAATATTTTTTTATTAAAAAATATCTATTATAACAAAAGTTTCTTTCTTCTTTTTCAATGACATTTGAAGCGTTTTACAGTGTTACCATTACTTTCTTCCTTTAATCGAAAGAAAAAAGCTTATGAAAGTTTTTACTTGCTTCAAGAAACTTTTGGTAAAGATGCTGAAGCAGCCATATGTAAATCTTAGAATGGTACGCAAATAATTCAAAAAGAAGAAAAATTGGGACCACTCACTAACGCCAACTTCAAGAATCCTTTAATGGTTGATAACTCTTCTCTTACAAGACACCAAAGATGACATCTCTACGATGAAAAATAGATTTATTACGATAACCCAAAACGCAAAAAATTATTGGTTTATTAAGGCAAGTCAACTATATCAATAGTAAAAAAAAACCTTCGTGAAAGAAAGACATTTGGTGGGATCAGAAATTAATGAAGTATTGTGAGTTACTAAAACCGAACGGAACTGTTAGTGCTGAACGTTACAAACAACAATATAAAGATTTCAAACATGGATTGTACGAAAAGTGGTTGATTCCAGTCAGCAAAATGCTTTGGTTGTGATTTTATTAAATCCATAAATCCATTATGATGGAATCCATAAATGATGATGCAAGATGGTGAAAAGTTAAAGCGGGTTAGCTTAGAATATACCGGCTATGTTAGGTTAAGTTAGAATATATCATGAGTCTATTGACTCATTGTGGCTTTATAAAACAAAGAATGGAAAATATTTTAATTAAAATAAAATTTACATATTCGTAGAAATAAATGTGTTTTTTTAGCAAAAAAATCCTAACTTATCTTAATAATAAACCCAATGATATTATGAAATTATAAAATTAAATAGTATTTATTTATTATTTAATTATTTTTTATTTATTAAACCAAGTCATACTTAAATACTGAATAGCACTTTAGATAATAAAAAATTATTAATAACTGAAAAAATGAACATAAAAATAAACATAAAAATAAAACAAATAAAAAGTAATAATAATCAAATAAAATAAAAAAATAACAAATTTAATAATTAAATAAATTTATATTTTGAAAATTAAATTCAAATCCCAAACAAATGCATTCGAAGTCCCTTGCACGTATGATTAATATTATTTCGTTTACTCTAAGAGCACATCAAGAAGAAACTTTCTCTTCTTCTTTACACAGTACTTTCCAGTTTTTCATCTCTTATTCCGATTTCACTTCGTTTCGTTTGTAAATTGTACTGAATCGAATAGAAAATATTTCTCTTTACTTATGCTTCTATTTCACATGCTCTTAAATGTTACTGCAAAGTTACTTAAATGTTTTGTTCTATTTATTTTTGTTGTTGTGTTTGTTGTTGTTGCTGCAATGTCAGACACTTTATTTTGCTTCAGTTTACTTTACTTATCGTATTACTCGTACCTCGTACTCCTTAATGAACCATGACCCTTACTAACATAAATTTTATTGTTATATCAAAGTATCTTACTTTTGTAATGCCACAGAGCTTAGTACTCGTACAAATGTGCACAACTAAAATCTTAGGTAAAAACAACACAACACACCCACACATCCATACGTAAACAAGTCCGTATGAAAACAAGTTCATCCTTAACAATAACAATAACAACAACAACAACAACAAAGCAGTAAAACATAACATATCGAATTAGTTAATTGCAGTTGTGCAGCATCTGCTTTGTGCTTGTCAGTAACTTTCAACAAAAATTGACTTTTATTTATGAGTCTCTTATTTGAATTGTTTATCAACAATATTGCTTTAATTTTTGCACAAATAAACTTTAAATCTGAAAATTGCAGAAAGCAATTTTGATTTAATTAAATTTATTAACATTGTTTTAAAAACATTAATATATTAAATAAACACAATATATGATATAAAATATACATTAAACAAATATAACATTAGATTAGGTTGAAATAGTTGGCATTAAGATGCCAAGCATTGACCCCGAGGTTCTTAATAATACTATTAAACAAATATTTTAACTTAAACAACTTTTGATAAACATTAAACGTGGTTTGAAGAGATAATTTTCTGAAGCTTTAGCAAGAAAATATCATCAACATCATTTACTTAAGTGATTAAGTTAAAGATTGAAATTATACTCATCGTAAAATAAGCTTTCTTACTTACTTGTATATATTTTCTTGTTTCAATGAAATGCAATTTAAAAAAATCGTTAAGGAAGTAAAGCTCTTTACCTCAATCACTCATACAGTTAGTGCTCGCTAAATTTATATTAAATTTGCATTTTTCCATAAATTTAACAGCGAAAGTAAATGCTTACAGCATTGAAGAAATCGAAAAAAATAAAATAAAATAAACCACAGCCAATAAGAGTAAAAACAGGATAAAATTTAATAAAAATACCAGCTAACAGCACTAGAAAACCGAAAAAATAAGATGAAATCAACCATAACTATTAGTGCTTAAAACAATAAAATTATATAAAAAATGCTAGCAGCAAAAAAAAACTGAAACAATAAGATAAAATAATCCCCAAACAATGCTGCTCAAAAAACACAAGATTAAATAAAAAATGTCAGCTACCAGACTGCAAACAATACATTGTTTAAGAAAGAATATAGTTTTACTCCATATATTTCTACAAAATTTCTATATAACCATTTTCAATGTTTAAAATTGTTAAAAAAATGTTTTAATGTTTTTTTAAAAATATTTAAAAAATTCATTTATAAATCAAAGTATCTTTCATATACTTTTAAGTACCAGTTGTCTGTTATATTTGTCAGAAATCTTGATTACGAATAGTATAATACAGAAAGAACACGTTAATAAATTTTAAAAATGGTTTTAAAAAATAATAAAAAATTTTGAAAAATTTTAAATGAAATAATTAGAATAAATCTGTCAAAAATTTAATCCACAAACACAAAGACGTGGAAATGCAAGAAAATTCAAATATAACAGACGTCTCAAAATATTATTGACCTATCTTTGTCTTACGTTGACCACACTTACCGTATATATTCAAGAAGATTTGATAGTCAAGATTTGACTATCTTTAAAGAATGAGGTGTTCTCACTACATCGTTTACTTAGTTGGCCATTACAGACGTGAGTCGTCCTTTCAACGACTCACGTCAAATAGCCTCCGCTGATTCCAACGGAGCTGGTGTTGTTCAACATTATTTTACATAACCGTATAAATTTTGTTAGGACAAATTCAGACATAGCGGCATAGAAGGAACTTCTTGTCGTGGTGTCAAAATCAGCTTTGAAATTGACAAATAGGTGGTGTGTGTCAATTTGTTTTTCTTAGATCTTCTCCAGAATTTGACTTACTGTGAAAATCTGGTCTAGGGCTTCTCACAACCACGCTATCTAAAAACACAAAAAGTGCCTAGTAGTGACTCACTGTATTGAAAAATATTATTCTTTGGGATGATTATACCGTAACGAGTCTCTAGAACTTCTTTCAAAAAATTGTAAAGAATTCTAAGGGTAATCATTTTTCACTATTTTTGCTTTTGTTGAATTATTGTGTATACATCTTTTGAAAACTCCACATAATGCATTTAATATGATCATTAAAAAACAACTACAAGGAAGGAATATGTCAACAAAAAACAACATTAACCTTATATGGACACAGTTTTCCAATGACTATAAAATATAGTAAGCTACAAAGATTAAGGTATTACTATCTCAAAACAACGATATTCAAAGTTACTCAGCCCTTATATTTAGACGGAAACAAGATTTTATACCATATGTGTAATGTACAAATAATCCTAAAACTATCAAAAAAACACCAATGTATGTGTTTAAGTTTGAAAAAGAACTGGTTAGAGGTTATAATATTTATAATAATATAATATATGATATTTTTATAATATATTATGTACTAAAAGATGTACTTGATCATGAGAAAAATTTGAGTACTTGAAAAACTAGCTATAGAGGTTATCGAAGAAGCACTAATTTTGGATAAATAATTTTGAACAGTTGGGGGAAGTTTTTCATATTAAGTGAATAACTGACAATTTAAAATGAATAGACAAAGCATTACTTTAAAAAACCTTAAATTGATTTTAAAACAACAATTATGGCAGAAGACTTTAAGCAACTCATGGCTATACAGGAAAATCGATTTTATCGTAGATTGCACTCAATATCAGAACAATCGATTATGTAAGATCATGTGGTTTTTAGGCACAAGGCAGCCACTCTAACCTTACCTAACTTAGGTACTTATATGTGTATTTGGAAGCAGTTTCTTAAAGCAAACTGCACTTGATTGCATTTGAGTCCACGTAAAAATGTTAACTCTTTTCATTGGAACCTAAATAAAAAGGTTCACGTTCACTATTTTCTCAGTGAATTATTTATTAATTAATAATTGAATTCAGTTAATTAATAACCAATAAAAAATTATTGTTGTAATGCACTACTGTTCGAAATACGTTCATATTTAACATAGTTTTAAAAAATACTTAAGACGATAGTCAGTAGGATTAAAATTCTGTATTAAATTATATTGGAACTGATATTCATCCCTCATATCTTTATATGGTTTAACCGAAACCAATCTGAATTTTTTTATGCAGAATTTACGTTATTAATGTAATAACTATTTTTTTATAATTGTAAAAATATCTTATATACATAAGGAAACTAATTAACAGAATCCTATTTCATTTGCATATGAAATTGTAATGCAATATTTTGAGATTCCTTAAATATAAATATTCCAAAGTGAAAAATTTTTAAAAAGGAAATTTATATGCTTTTATTATAAAATATATTACCTCCACATATTTCTATTCTATAAAATAAATTTAATACCAATTAAGTTTCGTTCATATAAACCGTTTTAAATATTATTTGTATGAATTTAATGATTTTTAATTCTACTTACCATGACAACTGCTGTAGATTAAA